AAACGGAAATCCGATGTGCTCGCGAATTAAATCACAACGGGCACATAACATGCGTTAATTAAATGATCAAGTAAAAAAGTCAGAATCGAACTTATCTTTCTAATAATAGTTTTACGATAAATTCTCATATATATATATATATGTAATTGATTCCTTTCTTCGCAACAGTATCACGTACAATTTAATAAATTATCAACAGCAAACAAATGGACGTCGATCCGATCGGTTACTACCGCTCGGTAAGACAGCCCGCTATTTAAATCCCTTAAAGAGACCCACTGGATAAGTGACTGGAGGAACTCTCTCTGGATGGGAGGAACGGTTTGTATTTCCAAAACTATTACATGTAGCACATGTAGCAAATATGTTTCGTGAAAATATCGCAGGAATACGAAAGAAAAAAAATATAGAGATTCGAGAATGGAATATATGCGTGCTAAATTTTTATTTCATTCTTTCCGTGAAAATTATACCTCTCGCCCTTCACCGTGGTAGCTCACTTAAACGATCGTGAAAGCATAGCTAGTCGCTAGTTAGTTACAACTCGCTTTCGCCCTAACCTGAAACGCACGCAGTCTTGTCGACAGAGAATTAGATACTTTCAATAGATAACTATACATCTCTTTCTCTCTCTCTCTACTTTAAATATTTTAAACAAATTTTTTTAGCGATAAAGGGAATAAAAGTCTGTCCTAGATTTTTATTCGAGAGATCTCGACAAGAGAGACCATCCGAGTCAATTCTCTTCTAATATATCCTTACATTTTTTATAAAATAAATCTATAAGTTTCTTTTTATTGGGTAATATAATATTGACTGTTATGTTTACAAGAAGATATTCGATAAGCCATATAATTCCGATAAGGTAGTAGATTTGACTCGGAACCAACGCGAAAGTCGGACTCCGATCGATTTTCAAAGCCGCCAATCAAACGGTCTTTTATCATGTCCGGTAATGAGCGCAAGAAGAATTTAATGCGCTCCCGAAAGTCCGCTTCGAGTCGAACGTCCTACCCTATCCATCGAGCTCGGCTCGAGGCTCGCGAGAGTGGGTGGGCTGACACGCGGTCGGTCCCAGAAAACCGAAACGGCAGTTGCCGGCGCACGATTGGCGAGAAGAGAGAGAGGGACGCCGTGCAACGCACAGCCGGGGCTCTTGGGGCCCCTCTAGCGACTTGAGAGGGGAGAACAGGGGGCAAAGGCACATTCCAAGGCAGAACGGCTGCCAGTGAAGGTGGAAGGCCCCGACAGTCTCTCACGATATCCCGCTGCTATTCTCGCGCCGTATACTCACCGTTCCCTCGTCCTGGGCCTTACGCCTCGGCGTGATACGAGTGATACAAACGTGCGGTTTGCTTCGTAAATTCGGGGTCCGTCGCGTGACCGTCGATGAAATCTTAAATTCTATTTTTGGGGGGGAACGTCCGAGCGTCTCGAGCGTCGCGAGCCTGCTTGTGATGTGACGGTGCATAAGTCGTGAAAATTTCACCAGCCAGTGACGCGAACGTCAGTCAGTCTGTGTTTTATCGTGCTACAGGCGTCATATCATTGTGATATTGTTACAAATATCGCGCGAAACCGTGCGTTTGCGTTGATCTCGATCCTGACATTCCGGTTTTGCCACAGATCGTCTGGCGAAACAGTCTCGGTAGAGGCTCGGCGCCAAATCGACCAGGTAACTTTTCGCTGTTGCGAGGAGAAAATCACTTCGAATAAGTAACGGTCCCCGGCTTTGAACGCGCTTCTTCAGGGACTCATTACCAGCAGACCGTGACAGTAATCAACGGCGTCCGCAGCAGTTTCGGAACGAAGCCTAGTCTCCGAGGCATCTGCTCTCCTGTCGTGGATCGTTAAGGCCCCGTCTCGAGCGAGAGGCCCGCGATCGATTTCTCCGCGAGATCTCATTGTCGTCAACGAAAGAATTCGCGAGTCGTTCACACACCGTCGCGCTCACGTTCCATCGGCTTCACTCCTCGTTCTGGATCCCACGCGATGCTCCGAGGGGCATCGCAGCCTCCTTAGACGTCTCTGAACCGAGCGGAGCAGGAGGAAAGCGGCGTCCGCAGGTGCCCGTCGAAAATGCGCCGTTTCGGGGCCACCGGAGGGCGCTCCCGAGGGATAACAAGGCACCAGGCTGAGCATCGGGCTCCTATGTCGCACGCAGATCGCCGGGCATGCGGAAGGCGCGCCGCTGTTGGAGGACAGTGATTGAGAGGATCCGGTCGACGTCGGGAGGGCCGACTCGCAGGTGAGCAGCCAGCCAGCCGACTGTGTGTTAATTCTCGGTCGCGCTGCGGGTCGAGCCGGAACTCGACTGCGAGCAGCAGCGCGGTGGTGAGCTGCTCGCTATTGGATTTCGCAAGGCGCGTGCGAAGCGTGCACGCTAGGCCCGTATCGCGAAAAGGTCGGCAACTTCTTCTCACGGTGCTGCGATCGTCGGCGAGCGCTCCGGGAAGAGCGACCTGGCGATTCGCTAATGACGATGCGGTAATCGCGCCGTCAGCTTCGCCGAAGAACCGGTCGAGAAGTCGAAATTTGCGGAGTCTCTCGGAGATGAAATCCCCGACGCACCAATCGTCAGATAGCGTCGCGAAATCCCTCGATTAGGTGCAGGTGTACTTGTTAGATCTTTGCTCACGAGTGTCGGCACTCATTTCGCGCGTCAGCAAAGGCCTTTGTCCCGCGACTCTTACGGATCGGCGAACGCGCTCTCCTCCCGATCGTTCCGATCGAGCGGCGAGACGATGTCGGGATGAAAATTGTAATTAACGCGACGGCCGCGACGGAATGCGTTTTTGCGGCGCTCCCGACGGCGACGATCCGCGAGTCGGAATGGGCGAAATTAAATCCACGTGCCGTGCGCGCGGATATTCCCATTCTCGCGACTAACGCCGGGATCGTCGGACAGCCGAGAAAAAGCCAGCGGCCGGCCGAGCACACGGCATCGAACTTGACCGTGGCCTTCGATGCCTTTGCACTCGTATAACGAGATACGAGGAATGTGAGCGGTCGGGAGTCACCGGTCGTACTTACGAAGACCACTTCGGACTGGTTACGGCAGCTAGATGCCCGATATCGAAACGGAGCTGCGCGACGTTGGCGCGTAATCGGTAGCGCGAGGCGAGCCTCTTCGCGAAACTCCTCGGGATCCTCGGAGGAGTGTCTTTGCATGCGCGAATAGGCGGATGCGCATAAATCGGAATTCATTTCAGGATCGTGGAAGATATATTGCAAGCTAATTGCAATCTTACGGTCGTCAGAGTGATAAGACCGGAGGTTTCGAGTGATATATAGGTCCAACCGAGAGTCGCGTTTAATGGTCGCGGAATAATTTAGCGACTCACTTTCCGTTTCGTTCGCATAAACTCGAGAAATACCGATAAGATCTCTCGTTCAGCAGTCCGATCTGGCTTTCATATTGAAATACTTTCTCTCAAACGCGCCGATTTTAATAATTTATTTATCTATTTCTTTCATTGTTAACGGGAAAATATACCCTTTTAAATTCGTACATAATATCCAGAAAATAATAAATTAGAAGAAGGAAAAATGTTTACGTAGAAAAAAAAGGAATTAAGACGAAATTAAAAGAGAAACATGCAAGTATAAATGCAAGCAATAAACCGGAACTCAGAGAATCTTTATGATATTTAATTTAAAAGATTTCAAAGACATATCATAAATATCTATTCACTTATGATAAAAGTATTCTTTAACAAAGATAATTTATCTATTGATTTAAATCTATCATGTACAGAGCACGATGTAAACTTGCGTGAAGAGATGGGAAATATTTCATTATTTAACGTTATAATTGCTTTGGTTGTATTCCCCTTCGCATAATTACCGGAACTATTAACCGTTCTTATGCGCAGCCCGACGAAGCCCTCACGATTGAAATCCGTAACAATTCCTAACGAGATAAACGCGTAATAAACCGCCTCAGCGCAGCTCCCGAAGTCCGCGCACAATGCTCGATCATAAAAGTCCGTCCCCTCTTCCGAAGAGTCGTGAAGGACCATCCAGTCTTTTCGAAGATATTTATTTAAGTTCGCCGAAAGCCATCGGAAAAGTTTTAACGACGAATGGCGATAATAAGCCGTAAAGTTTCGCGCGTTTCCGCATCCTGAGCGGATGCGTTGCCACCCTTGTGGTTCTTCATAATTTACGGATTCGTTAGCTCTTCGCCCCGTTCCATCGTCGGAGCTTACTTATTAAATGTCGATCTTTCCTACGTCGTTTTGCATTGCGAGATTAATTTCTACATTAGAACGTTCATAATCCCCGATTACATTATTGACATTTTTTTCTTCAGCAAACGACCGAGAGAATATTTAATTATGAGGCTGCCAATATTTTTCAAGCACATTTTAGACTTAAAATTATATTTGAGGTAAACGAAATTTTTTTAAATAATATCTGGTTATTAGCTCATGTTATGTCGGCAGAAGTCAATGAAAGCGAGCGCATTGTTATTCAACGATAGCTCACACTTTTCATTCGTTTCCGAGTAAACGCAGCTCATTATCGTCATATACGCGACAGCTTGAGACGAGGGATAATAACGACGGCGTTGACACATCGACTGTCCAGATCGGGATCGGTGCGTCGAAGGTGCCAGCCGCGTGACCACCGTTTCTTGCACCTCCACGAGAGACGGCCCGTTTTGTTGCTCCGCTTCGTTGAACTTGATAAATCGTTCGATATTACGAAACAGCGGGAGCCACCTTGTAAAATGTAAAAGCGAAACCGAGAGAATTCACCTAGCGTTTTGTCTCGCATCTTCGCCGCTATTTACCACGCGACGCGGCCGGCTCGACGTGATTCTTGCTCTCCGTTATTACCCTTGACGAGAAAATTGGAAACCCCACGCTTCTTCGGCTCGATTATCGGTCACGATCGCCCCTTCTGTTCTCTGATAAGAGGGTCGATTTTTTACGACTCCTGGGAACATATTCTTTTTTTTTTTTATCATACGCTTTCTCATTCCAGGTACTAAAATGTCCCAGCCAGAATTGATCAGCGACTTGGACGTGTCGGAAAGCACGCAGCATCCGTGTCAGTGTTCCGCGATCAACAACATGGACCCTCTGAGGACGCCGAGGGACAGGACGGAGAGGAACATGGGCAGCACCAGGATCTCCAACAACAGTCAAGATCTGCCGCGCAGCTTGGAGACCTTGCAGAGCGCTTTCGAGCCGATACGCAGACTGGAGAGTCCTCACCAGGATAGTTCGCAGATCAATCTGGACAACACTAGGAACGTCGATCTGTTGGAGCACCAGGCGAACATGTCGTCCAACTCGAGATCCATCAGCGGTCAGAGCTCGATGTTATCACGACACGGTCACAATCTCTCCTGCAGTCCGCGCAACTTAGACCTGTCTCGCAACCTGGCGTTCGAAGCGGCGCGACGCGTCCAAGAGAGCTCGAGCCTGCAGGACAATCAGCACAGCTTGACCTCGAGCCCCAGCCCCTTGCTGGAACCTGGGCCGAACTTGCTCGAGACAACGAGCAAGGAGCTGGACAAGCAGCTGGAGGAGCACTCCGGCTTGTCGCAAAAACCGAATACCGCTAAGGATAAGTTGAAGAGCGTTCAGCAGGTTCTGAACCCCTACCAGCACCATCACGAGCCCGCGGCGGTCGATCGCGGCGTGCACGGTCACTTTCACAGCGATATGCACGCCCACATCCACAAGCACGCCGATAACTTCAGAGGCGCCACGAACTTGGACGCCGGCGAAGGCTTGATGGGCTATCAGCAGCACCAACGGCAACACACGCATCATCATCACGGTAACGCGAAGACCGGCGTAGCTCATCATCACGGATCCGGGACGCATCACCCGCACGCGCAGGCCATCGCCGGGCACCATCACGGCAACCTGGCGGCCAGTCTTACCGGTCATGTTCATGGAAATCCCGGACCTTTGAGCGCGTCTGGTTTGTATTNTCTCTCTCTCTCTCTCTCTCTCTCTCTCTCTCTCTCTCTCTCTATTTTCTATCACACGGAAAAAAATGTTTTGCTGACACGGTAAATTGTTAGTTACTGTGGGAACAGCGCAAAGATTTGTCACACGGAAGAAATGATTTTGCTGTAGCAAAACGTCGTTGCGACAACGACATAATTTAATTGGCATAACCAAATTATTTTGCTGTCCATGTATCTAGCAAACAGCAGTTAATATTTTTAACAAATCTTTTTGCTGTCCAAACAAGTTTTTTTGTTGTCCCCATAATAATTAACAATTTACTATGACAACAAAATATTGTTCTCTCTCCGGCGACATCGATGACGTCCGTCACGATGTTGTAACAGACTCAGGCAACACAAATTTCTGAAAAATCTTTTAAAGATGCCTGAAAAACTGTAAAAAATACAAGAAATTTGTTGAATATATTTTATGATATCTTTGGGACATTCGTGTTATTTAAGGAGATTAACGTTCTTGCTTGATCTGGATTTCGTAGATCCTGGGTTGGCGCCGTATCTTTCGTGAATTTGTTCGTCTCGTGAACATTCTAGTTTATTTCTTCGGGGAGAAGAACAACTTGAGACTGTTTTAGTTTATTCTTTACCCTGAAGAAAGGAACTGAAATGTCGGAAATAAATCTACGAGAAACGCTGAGTCCAGATCGAGCATTTCTCGATACCACCTCGAGTATCAGATTAAACATTCTTATTCCAGGTTCCAGTTCCATCAATCAGACTAGCTCGACCACCCCGACCGGGCACCATCATCCAACGTCGATGCCGATCACCGCCACGATAAACCACGTGAACTCGCCGCACAGCCATCATCGGCTCGGCACCGGCTCCAGCCTGACCCATCATTCGAATCCTACCTTTTCAAGTGAGCATCACGGCACGTCCAGTGCTTTGAGCGGCGCGTCGTCCAACTCGAGCATGATGAATCACGGTGGCTCACCCGCGGTACACCGCCACGTAGTTAACGTCAACAGTAGTCTGTCGACGACGCCGTTGGGCGGCCATCACCACGGTAGTTCGTCGGGCAGCCTGACGACCGGTCACTCCAGCGTCAACCACCATCACGTCAGCTCCGGTATATCCTGCGAGTCCTCGTCGTCGAACGCCAACACCAGGACGCACAGCAGGCTAGACCATGTCCACGACCATCATCATCACCTACAGCCGGTGCACTCGTTGCATCCGAGTCATCCCGACACCAGACAGCGGGATCGGGCTCCCTCCAGCTTGGATCATCATGGACACCACCACGCCCACGTTCACAATCATGGCCATCCGCACGGACAGAACGACACCAAAAACGCGTCTCTCATGGGCGTCGACGCCATTCAGGTGTGTGAACTTGAATTATAATTATTTATATAATACATTTATATGAATATTTCTCAATTACCGTCCAATAATTATGCAATGCTATTTCTTATTAAAAATCAAGTCGGAAAGTCTCGAGACATTTTTTCCACAACACACATAATAAAGTAATAATTAGTAAATAAAAATCAGCCGATCATCTTTTTTACGCGAACGAATGTCAATGATTGAACGCGTAACGATGTGGCTGGACTTCTCTTAATAATTATTACCTTATTAAGCGTCGTAGAGAAAAATGCCTCCGAACTTTTCGACTTGATTTTTAATAAGGAATAACGCCAATTAATGGATGCTAATAAAGAGAAATTGTACACACATGTCGAACAGATTTCGAATCGCGTCGGTTCTTGCTTCGAGGCGACATGGAATTTCAAATCTTGAAATAGTCGCGCAACACACACGACGTGAATTGGACAGGAGCGCGAAGTGGAGAATTAAAAACAAACAAGAAACGCGCGAGATAATTAGATTTGGCGCGATCGCGCCTCCATAAATTTCCCTTCCGCTTCTCCAAATGAGGAGAATGACTTATACCACTGTTCCGCCCAAGCGGCTCGTATATTCCTAGCGGGTTTTTTTGCCGCCACATCTCAGAAAATACATGTTCGTGAATCGCCATATCTCTATCCGCGCACGCTTGAGTTACGTTCGCCGTGTCCTAGCCACGCGAGAAGCTATAAATCGTGTACTAAGCAACGGTTCTGCCCTTAGAGCTTATATCAGGAAATATTTTCAGCCGAAGGCCAAATGCAGCGCGCACGGATGATTAATGATCCGGTGCCCGTTGCAGGAATGCGTTCGAATTTCGGGGCGAGTGCGACGAAAAATATTTCACCGGGGCTTATTCTTCGTCCGCGAATGTTGATATCGAAAATGTCGCGGCGCGGGAGCGAGAGATCGTGAGAGATTCGCGCGAGCCGCGAACATTGTTCCCGCCAGATGAACGAGAGGAAAAGAGACTCGTCGAACGACGTGACGATATCACACTTAATACTCATTATCGAGCCGCGTTAAGCCTTAACGAGCCGATAATTATACATCTTGAGGAACCACTCCGGTCCCTGTAAATCTCCGATAATTATTGCTCCCGAAGAGACAGTTTTAACGAAAGAAGACATTATCGCAGCTCGTCAAGTGTTACTGATCTTTTACGACGTAAGTCGTGTAATTTGACTTGCGACATGAATTAAGGGTTTCTCTTTTTGGTTTCCTCAAAGCGTACTCGTTATCGTATCGGACGACTGTCCCCGCGTTATTATCAAGCCGCTCGCACGAATTGATAAGCGAGTTGACACGAACACGTTTGTCGTCTAGGTTTCGGCCCCTACGAAGAACAAGTGTCAATGTCACGTGGTGCAGCAACCCGGAGGAAACAATAGAGGCGCCGAGGGTGAGAGTGACGGAGGCGTCGAGGTGACATCGAGAACGCATCAACCGCCCGCCCTTCCGCCACGTCCACCGCCGAGACCAACAAGACGCTACGAGACAACCGCTGCCAATCAATGTAAGTGACTAACTTCCATGCGGTTATCGGATTTTTGCCCGTGATATTATTCGCACTCGGGGAGATCCAACGGCTGTTTATCTGCAAAGCCGACGGTTAATTTTAATAAACGATTTTGTTGATTGGTTTAATTTTATTATCGCCACGCTCGTCCGATAAAATACAAGGGATGAGCCCGGATAAGTGATCCCAATATATTGGAACAATGAAATGAACGAGGTCATCACCGGCGACTTCATTGAATTTTCAATAATTTAACAGTAAGGAATAAAATTTATCGACGATCGGCCATAATTCTCCCTCGGCGATTTCTACGCGTTACGCGAAACGAAATAAAATTTTCCGCGCGATCCGACAAGATTCGGGGAGGGGGGCGCAGTCGAGGCTCGTATTTTCCACGAGCGTGATATTCCCCCGCTCGCGAGCGCACGCGTCGATATGAATAGTCGATTCGCGATATGACGTTAACACCCGCTCTATATCGGTGACTTAATTTCCATTCGAGATTGAAATGTCAGGCAGCCGTTGAAATGTCGGACGGCGGCGTTTCCTGAAAATTCGCCCCAGCCGATCGCCGGGGAATGCGACGCCGCGGCGGGACACGCGTCGACGACGGTTAGGGTAGCTCCATCCTTGTATGCCGACTTGTTTTACGATTATCCCGACTGCACTATCAGCCGGATGAGGAGTCCGACGCGTTCGTCCTCGCGGGCGGCCTTATCAGTCGCGGACACGCGTTATCGACTACCACGCGATAGGTTTCTACCCCGCTCTCTCTCTCTTGCCCGGGGGAGCATTCCCGCGGAATTTCAACCCCCGACCGCGCCGGGTCGCTCGAATCATCCGGGGGTATATCGACCAGTCGATGCTCGCACCAACCGAGAGTAGGACGACCCCGTCGTGGGATGCGGGCGAGTTAAAAACGGGCCGACGATACGACACAGCCATCGCACTATCAACGTGGCCACTTTCTCTCTCTCTCTCCCTCTTGCTCGCTCTATCGTTCTCTCCCCCTCATTCTCTCTTTTTCTCTCTACGTGCCTCACGCGTGCTCAGTATCCGCTTCTTCTTCGCTGACGTGGAGAAGAAAGCCGGATCACCTGGATCTCGACTCGTGCCAGCAGCTACGGAAGCCGCCACCTGTGGGACACGCCACGACGACGTGGCCGCCAGCGACGTTTCGTGGATCCTCTGTCTGGAGCGCGCGATCATCGATACGGGGGGGGTGAATTTTCGCGTCTTGAGAAGGGTACACGGCGGGAAGATCGATACCCTGGCGATATCGAATCGCTCTCGTCAGCCGTCGCCGACTGATCGTCGCGCGGGATGCTCGGTGAAGGATATCGAGGGAATCTCCGCGTCAGTAATGACTTCCGATGACGATAATTGACGGTGAAAGTGGGCTCGACCCGGTCGGAAATGCGAGTCGAACAGGTGACCTTGGAGGGAGAGACGAGTTCATGGTGACACGTGACCTGTGTGCGCGCGTGTCTACGTGTCTGTATATGTGTGTGTGTGCGGAATATCGCGGGCACGTATGATTTAATGACGTTGTCTGCAATAAATCATATTTAATCGCAGATCGAGTGTCATGTGCAACATTGATTACGTTCCGGTGCGAATACGATCTCTCCCCTCCGCGGAGTAATGAAGAATATCGCGTACATGTGATCGTCCGATTGTTACAGCCACCTCTACGTTTGTCGAAAATATTTCCCATCGTTTTTTCTTTATCGCGAATAATGTGCATTGCGAGCTTGACAAATATCTAGATTCAAGCGGTAAGCTACGACTATACGTCATTCGCAGACTTCGTATTTTTTTCCTGTTCCTTTCGTTAATTTACACTGGATAATTTTACATCGGGTTTATACGGATTTTAAACAAACCTTCTGATTGTTTTAATTCAGGAAGCCTCGAAAAAGAAACACTCGTCGGTGAATGTAATGAATTTCTACGAGTGTGTAGTGACATGTGGCTATTGTATTGCGTTACACTTGAATGAAATGCAGTTTGAAGAGTCTGCTTTATAGTAGTAATATATGTCAATATTGACAGGAGACACTCGATTCGAGGTCCCGCGCGCGCTTTCAAGGATCGACGCCGCGGTGACGTGCGAATAAAAATTAGCGCCAAGCTAATTACAATAATCGCGCGCGAACGATGAACGAATGTTGAATCCAAGAGAATTCAGCTTCGAGCGTTTTACACATCGGTGAACGATTCAAGCCTCCCTTGGGACGCTGCGAATCTCGTTCGATCGAGGATCGGCCGAAGGAGACGGGAGTTCCGATCGATTCGGCCGATCGTCGCTGAGAGTGCCGCTCGGCTCCAGCGCGAAGGAGAATCGCCGGCACGTGTTAGCGAGCGACAAGAACGCAGGGATGAGCTCGCAGGATTGCTGAGGATCGTCGTGAAGGATCGGGCCAAAGTGACAAGGCGGGAAGATGGATGGCAACCCGGTGCTCCAAATAGTGCGCTGTCGCCTCGGGACGGAAATGGAAATGGACAGCCAGGGCTATCCGTTCCCGATACCGGCACATTCGCACTCGCACTCACACTTGCCACATCACGCGCACTTCCCGAGGCCGCATTATCCGCATCCCTGTGGTACGCCGACGATCAACCCCGTGGGCTGCTTGCTCGCTCGTATCGAAGCAACCCTTTTTTCCCTCGCACTCCCTTTGTGCACTCGTGTGCATCGTTATTAATAGGTCAACGCGCGTTGTCGTCGTCGTCGTCTTGAGGCAAGGTCAAAGGTTGCGTCGCTTCGCTCTTTCGACGCGTACGTCACGCGTCCGCGTTGAATCTTCATCAGCGTCGTAATTCGCAAAATTGAGAATTATCTTGTCCGATATTGTTGCTTGCGAACTTGTCGCGATGCGTATTAGCGAGAGAGAGAGAGAGGGGGAGGGGGAAGGACGAAATTGCTATTTTCTTCTGTCGTACGCGTAATGTAATTCGATAAACTGCGCTTTGCAACATCGCGGGCTTTATTGTCTCTTCATTTTCTTTAAACAAGAACACTCGATTGTAAAAATCGTATATCATATTTATATACATGTATATATTTCGTATTAATTATATTTTTCATTTATCATATTTATACATTTCCCTTTCGTATATATTTATATTATATTTATCAGATATATCGTATTTATTCAACCATCATATTTCTCTCTCTCTCTCTCTCTCTTTTTCTTTCCGTGATGGAAAAATTGCTCTCGACGTATCGACTATCCGTTTACCACGTACGAAATATTCTTAGCCGCTCTCAGTTCCGAAATAGACGGCTCCGATTTCGCGAGGGGGTTGGCCCGGATGGATCGTCGCGCGTTTACGCGCCCGACGTAGATCCGAAGGAGATACTGGGACCGTTTTACGCGACCCCCTCTGCGCGTGTAGCAATTGCGGAATCTTTCCAATATCTTGTTATATTCGTTTTCATCGTTAGTGCATCGCAAGCGAAGCGTTTCGCTGTCGCTGTTCGCTCTCTTCTTCCTCCCCTCCTCCTCCTCCTCCTCTACCATTTCCCACGACGGCCGAAATCTCAGACGCGGTGAATTCTCCCTCGGATTCCCAATTCGTTCTGCATCGATTCATAGCGGTGCCGTTTCTTCTCGTTGATAAACACCGCGAGTGGCGGGCGTGTCATAGCTAGGATGAAAAACGTTGGGCGGACATTGTTACCTGAGGGGGAAAAAACCACGGGTGTCTCTCACGAGTTTCTCGAGCGGCCATGGGCACACACGGGGTGAAATGTGCGTACCGCATCGCGAGATGTGACGTTACCGATTTTCGAGATTATTGTCCTCGTGAAAAGCGTGAATTCGCCCCTCCGGAGGGCCGGATCAACAGAGAAAGAAAGAAAGAGGAAGAGCACAGCCTCTCCTTCAAAGGACCCCTCCGACTCGACTCTTTCTCCCTCCTGAGAATTTCCACCCCGTGAATTTTGTATCTAACCTTTGAACGGCAGATTAGAATCGGGAGACGCGTCACGCTCGAAGTATTCCTTGGAAATTTCTATCGAGACTCCCGCGCTCTCCTCTCTTTCACCGCAAATATTTTTACCCCGCGAGCCCTTACGGCTTTCGTTCCTGTGTGCGTTCCTAAGTAAAAAAGAGAGAGAGAGAGAGAGAGAGAGAGAGAGAATGAGCGATCGTAAATTCCCGACGAAAATAATGTCCGGCCTTTGACCTTTGCCCTCATGTAGTTCGCACAATGAGCTCTCGTTCCCGCGTCGTTTAATGACGTAGAGACGTAGGAGAGAAAAAATGGTCGGCGCGCCGTAAAGCGCGAATCAATACCCTTGATTACGTTCGCGCGCTTGAATTTTTCGATCTCCCGCGGATCGACGATGTACGTGTGCGCGCGCGATCGAAAATTTTATTCCTCGCGAGCCTCCGAGGAGTATTAGCACATTGTCTCCGGCAGCCGGCCGGTGTGTATTGACGCCCGAGAATTCATTGAGAGAACTTCCAATACGGCGCGCTGGACTCAATAGGGTGGCTCGACAATGGAAGTCGAACCCGGATGCCATCAAACGAAATAACACAGCTGCGTCGAACGTTACAAAAGCAGCGTCGTAAGCGTTTCGCGGCGTGTTCGCGAGCCACGCCGTAGAAAACGGAAATACAATCGGCGGCTCCTCGCGGTTCCCCCCCCTCCCGCGCGATACGCGTTCGAACGCGTTCAATTTCACCCGTGGGACGTGTTTTCGGCGGAATAAATCACGACGTTGAGTCCTGCCGACTCGCTGTACTCCTCTGTTTCTCTTCTCCGATACCGTCGTCCCGGGTGCTGAGATTCAATTTTCTTCCCTCAGCATCGTGTATATTCTTTACGTACATCGTTATCCGTCGCCGGCGATGTCCCGGTCGCTCAGTTCGTTGCGCTCCGTTTAACCCTTCCGGGGGGATCGGGACACCCGGATGCAACCGGAGTAAATCGTGCCGGGTCCTCGGTCAGCCGGATAATGATCGTCCCCGCGTGAGAATCTAACAGCAGTACTCCTGATCTGGTCACAATGAGAAACGTGCCGCGAACGAGATTCCTCGAATCTCCGCGGTGATTGCGCTCTCGTGTTGATATTCTCGCGCTTCGACGACGCGTCGTCCCGCAGGATCGCGATATGCCATGACACGAGATCGACGATTGGTGGCCTTGACACCGACGAATCGCGCGCGAGCATCGCTTCGTTTTCCATCGCCTGAGATCGATGTGATCCCGGGGATACACGCGGGCAAATCGGTATTGCGATCACGCGCCGGGACGTTTCTTCGTCGCGCCAGCGCTTTGAATTTCATTCAGGATCGACTTTTGCAGGTCACACCGGCGAAGGCGGCTGCTGCAAGAAGTACGTAGTCCTTTGCTGCCTTTGCGGCGGCCTGAGCGCGGCGGTCGGCTGCCTGTTTTTGGCGGTGCACGCGGTCCTCTCGGCCCACACAGCCAGCTTAGCGCTCTTCGAGACCGTGCCGTCTTACATTCCTGGCATTATGGTGAGAGACAAAGATCGATCGACCGTATTACCGAAACTGTCTCAGCGCGCGCAATGGCGTACCTGCGGCGGTCCTACGCGAAAACGAGCTAACACGTCGAACGCAGCGGGAATTATTGGTCTTATATTTAAGGAGATTGTAGATAATGAGTTTGATAAGAATTCGGTGAAACTTACACCAAGTATAGACTGAAATATTATCTAACTGCTTCTGCAATTAGAAAGAGATTGACCATTCGAGGGCTGAGATATAACTAAAGTCGACGTTCTTTTACACGTGTTCCTTGAGAGAGATTAGCGTGCTACTTTTCATTTCTATTTTTAATATCTTCTAAATTATATATAAAAGTAAGTGCCACTGAAAATACGACACTGAGTCTTACAATCTCCTTAAAACGGTTTTATATTTTATCGTCAAGTTAGTTGAAAGTTTCATACTGTCGATTTTGTGCATTATACGATGTAACTGAATTTCTTTTTAACTTATTGAATTAATTGGCTTATTAGTTATTGATGAAGGTGTATGAAAGTTTGCGCGTTTTCTCGTTCAATCAGCCGGCTGAGAAGATCGCGGAGGTTCGACGGCGAATAATTAATTAACGATTCTAGCTGATCCTGATGGGTCTCTTCACAATGCTGCTGGCTCGGCGAAAGCATAGATACGGACTTCTGGTAAGTTTCCCCGGTAACTTCTCATTCCCGCGGTAAAGCGTCATCGGTGATGCTGACAGTTCCGCTATTAAACCGGGTTTATAACTTTTGCAGATGAAAGTCTGCGGTTCCGTGGGAGTGGTGTGCGCGATGGTGTGCGTTCTCGTCACCGTCACCACCACGGTGATTCACATGTCCCGATTGCAGGGACTTCGCGAGTGCGTTTACACTGCGCGCGCGAGGTACGTATATCTCTCGTTTGTGTATTCAGAAGACAAAAGGAACGAGAGTACGCGGTGGAAGTAAAAAATCAATTCGTTCCTTTTATTATTACGGCAAATGCGTAGCTTTTGATAATGATCGTTCGTACTGATAGAGACTCCTCGCGGTAGAAGTGGCTTGCGCACGGAAATGGTCGAATAAATGTCAATTTTCATTCAAGCAATTTGTAGTCGATCCTCATTCGAATGATTAAAATTGCCCGAGAACATATTCACACGGAGAGAATTTTGTAGTAAAAATTTTGTATAAAACTTTGCAACCGAGGAACACATATCGGCATTGGTGTCCATTACCATTCCGTTTCATATATGCCGTTTTATTATATTTTAGGAACTGAAATCTACCGTTGAAAAAATTTATGTTCCCAACGAGATAAACTCTACCGACAGTCTGTCAGACAGTTTCTGCACTCTAGATAACACGATGAAAAGAAATTAAAAAGAAATTATACGAAGAAAATGCTAAAATATTCTCCCCGTGTATATATTTTCTCTTTCGTTGAAATTAGCAAATATATATCTCTCGGATATAGACATTAATTTCGAATTTCCGCGGCGATTCAGATCGTGCACATGTTACGGCGCGCCGCAATCGAAAGGGGATCCCGGGGTGCTGTTTGAGGGAACCCCTCACTGCGAAGCGGTGCACGGCGCGCTGTCGGACTGCCTGAGGGCCCTCTTCGGCGTCTCAGTCGCCGGTATTCTGGCCTGCATATTCTCGTGCATGCTGGTGTACCAATTGTTGAGTCACGAGAAGAAGAAGATGTACTGGGAGCAGTTGGAGCTGCGATGCAGGTCGCTGTACGGCCAAGGAGGTGCCGTCGGGCCGCCGGCCGGGTCCTGCGGCTGCTGCAACGACTGCGGCGGTGCGAGCCCGTGGTGGGCCCAGACGCCGGGGAATCTTTACACACCGAATCCGGATATAGCGCCGTCCAGGTATGCTTCCCGCATAAACATTCGATCTCCCGAAATTAAAAAGAAAAAGATGAACTCCGATGAAAGAAACATTTCAATTTTATCCAACAATATAATAATATAATTATTATATTTAGTTATTATTATCATAATTATTATATCATAGAATATAATATAAAATTATATAATGCTTTACGTATGTGTGATATCATTATTAAATATATTTTTTTATTTTAATAGTGTAATAATTATGTGATAATTTCGTGCGAGTATTTAGATGTTTTGACAAGAAAAAAATATTAATAACGGGGCCGGAAATTAGAAAATCTTTTTCTCCTGTACTAAAGAGTATTCCTTCTTCAGGAGATGGCGACTGCCCTGGTCCAGGTCAAGGGGTCCGGCGCCGAGTCCGGACTCGAATTACGGCTTTCACACGCAAACACGACCGGCGGAAGCTAACGTAGAGAGCGGTACGGGACCTTACAGTGTCCTCAATTCACAGTCAAGCGGTCCCTACTCGGTCTTAAACACTCCGAGCGCCCCGTATACGCCGAGTACCGCGTCCTACAGCGTCCTCGAAGCGCCTGTGCCATTGTGGGGACCGCCGCCTCCTTACAGCGACCCGAACAGTCCAGCCAGGCGGCCACAGGTGACCGAATCGAGAGCCAGAATTGCCAAAAGGATGGATAACTTCGAGACTAGCGAAGGTAAAGCATTTATCACATATTACGAATCATGTAACTCCTGGTTCGCGACTCGAACAAATCTTAATAATTGGTTTAACGAAAAATCCATTACACAATATTAAGATTCCGTTAAATTTGGAACGTTGAACGTTAGGAATTGAATGTTCGCGATTTTTTGAACGTTTAGATCACAGGGCGCGATCTGCGAAGCGGCCTTCGGACAATTACGAGAACGCCGAGGAGATCTCCAACAGCACGGATCCCGAGGGCGGGAACGAGGGAACGATCAAAGGTAGGAGAGCCAGGAAGCCCTTGAAGGGCGTGGAGAACGGGGCATTTCAGCAGGAGGCGAATCCCGGCCCGAAGCAATCCGAGAGCGAGCTGTATTTCGGTGACGTGTCCTCGTGCTGCGGACCGGAGAGTAGTTTTTACGATCTGGCTGTGGAGAAAGAAGGTATTATCGAAGTTCATCTCACGCCTCGCGGCCTTCCATCGCGCGTGGAAACTCCACGGTCGGATGCTTGCTTCGGCGTGCGCGCGCTTGGATTAATTTCCCGAGGATTCTCCGAGATCCGAGAATCTTCCACACGTGAGCGCGTTTCCTCTCCCGTTGATTATTGTTACATCCACGGCAAATCTTCGGGCGTGCGTTCGCAAATTCTCGTCACCGCGAATCCTATGAAAGTATCCGCGATTTACATTCCTCTCGAAAACCGTCACTTCTCCACCTCGACGACACGCAGCCTCGCGACGAGCGCGCATGTCTAACCGACGCGTCTCGATTTTCAGGCGCGGAGCACACGGAAGGTGTCGACTACCTGGCGGCCAGGCTGGGCAAGCGTCAGTTGTCGAAGAGGTCGCGGTTGCCTCTTCCCTTGCCGGCCGACACCAGCGACATTCCGTCAGACAATTACGCGAACAGCGACGAGCCGAGGAACTCGAGGGGTCCGTTTCTCGCGCCGGACGCGCAGTACGAAGTGATCCAGCAGGGTCGTTACTCCTATTACGCGTCGAAGGACGACGAGGAGCTGCAGGAGGGCCCGGCGAGTTCCGGCTACTTCCGCGAGGACGAGAACGAGAGAGGCAGGGAGAGGGATTACAGGGATTACAGGAGCAGTCAGGAGGAGGAGACGCCACAATGTTGCCTCAGCGACTCGACGACTCTGGACTCCGGCTGGCAGAGCGGAGAGCAACCGCAATCGGACGATAACGTGCGGCCGGTGAATGTGTGACCCTAGACGCGATCGTGCGGATCTAGTGCGGACGAAGTGATGAGAGCGATCGACGATATTTCGCTCGCCTCCGGGGAGATGTTCGCCGACGAGACGATTAGCGGCGCGGAGAGACACGACAATAGTTCTCGACCTGTGAATACGTAATTTAGATCGATCGTAAGTATGCCCGAGTGGAAATCTTGGTTCGGCAGTTGTAGTTCTTCCTAACCCTGCGGATTCCGTCGGACTTGAAGGACCAATGGAAGATCTCAAGGTATAATATTATGCAGACCACTTACTTTTGACGCTACAAACGGCTACTTCCCGCTGCTTTGTTGTGATTCTTAAAACTACTTATTCAAGAGATTATTTAACATTACAGTATCTCAATAGTCTACCTGCATTTAATCTCTCTTAATTTGTAATTTTAATCAGAAATGTATTATTTATTTATTTATTTAAACGAGAAGATGTTCCTGAGTACAATGAATAATAATAAATAAAATAAAGTGCAAATAGAAAAAGAAGAAAACATTTCGAAACAAATTATTCAAAATGAAATGAATTGCGTGCAACTTGCTCAACTGCAGTTAAGCTATTGCGATAAGCAATTATTAAATAATCTTATAAATAGTGACACATGTATAATTAATATTAATAGATAATATAGGCAATAGATAATATTAGTAATTATGAGGTAAGTATTAAATATTAATAGGTGAATAGGTAAATATACATAAAACAAGAAACGTTCTTTTTTCATAATTTCTTCATTATTATTTTTTATCGGCTTTAGTTTCGGCTAAATTTCGATAGAATTTCGGGATTCGAAAGATGCGAAGAATAAGGAATTGTAAGCCTCGTTGCCAGCTACTGTCCTGCATCCTATGTCCTGTAATCCGTTCTAAAATCAACTCCTGCTCGTCATCGTGGTTAGACGCTCAACGATGTCACGAAAGTACGAGTCAATCGAAAATGCGGCGTTAATTAATGATCATGCGTCGTGATGGGGCCATTACGTGTCGAGTCGACTACCTACGTACATACCGTGACGCATAGCATGCGTATCGATGCTTTATTTGCAATTCCAGTCGGATAATTAAAATATTTCGCCGGCTACTGAGATATGTAATCGGGCTCCCATCGACATCGTGTTAATTAACACGCGTTTCTCCGATCGAATCGCACTTACGTGAGTGTCAGTGCCAATGTCACGAATGAATATCCGGAATGCTATGATGAATCTTGGAGCAGGATGCTGGGATTGGCAGGACACAGGATGCAGGATAGACGTCGGGACGTGGATAATAAAGTATGATATGTTTCCTTAGGTATGTTAAATTATTTATTATCCGGGATGTTTTTAATTTTAACAGACATTTGACTAACTTACCGTGTATAAGGAAATAACAAATCAGAATTTATTCCTTTATTCATAGCTCATTCATTATTTGACAGTTATAGCTTCATGAATCTCCGATTATTCATTAGTCTGCATCCATTTCATACAAGTAATACCGATCTAAGCACGAAATAATCTAATCGAATAACGGTTCACGAATATGAACCTATAACTATATATAACTATGCACTCGGAGAGCATCTCATAAAGAATTTATAATCGTGAATAACCGGCCTTAGAATCTAATATAAGTTTCGTAAATACTGATTTACCCGTCTTTCGAATCCCATCTTATTGACATCTGTTGATGCTTTCTTTTCATTTCCGTTTATCTGCTAACGTACTGAATCCAAATTTTAATCTCTTTTACTACATTATTGGATATAAAATCATACTAACTGTGCTCTTATATATCTTATATATCTTTTTTCTTCATCCCTTCACAATCTCTAGTTGAAATCTATCGAAATCGGAATTTCCAACGTCAAGAAAGAAATCATGAGAGAATTACGAATAAAGAAATATGTTGTTTTATTTACCGATTTATCTATTAATCTTTATTAGATTATTTAACATTTGCTTATCGTGTGCACACTTTATCTCCGATCGAATAAGTTATGTAGTGAATCTATTGTTTATCGGAATTAAAAGTGAAGATTAAACTTAGAATATTGAGATAATCGAATATTGAATAGTTCTTGCACAAGTGTTTCTCGAAGCCTGAACACGGAGAAGATAACAAGCAAGTATTTATAGCGTCAAGGTACGACAATAGCCTATATCATGAGACTTCATTGATTCTTCAAGTTTGACGGTGTGTCTGGAGGATTAATGGTGGAACCAACATTTTCGATTCGGTTTAGATCCCGTCCTCGGCGACGAGAGCGCGCGTCCAAAGTCGTTGGGACTCTCGCTTGTCCCTCCTTTCTCGGGTAGAATCCATCAGGCGTTTTAAAGCGTTCTACGTAATGACGTCGTTAACCCCGTGTATAAAGAAAAACGCCTCGAAGCCTATAAAACGTCTAGTGGATTGCACCCCTCGACTGCCGGAACGTAGAAGCTAGGAACGATAGGCGCGCGACCCTAGGCGGGTGACGCGTACGATAATAGATTCTCTTTAAAGCGAAGAAAATAGAATGGAGCGTAGTTGAGTGGTTGAAACGACGCGCTAGCGGTAAATTCATCGGCGGATTGCAGAAAAAAAGATCATTCAAGAGGATTGCGCGTACTTCGGCTCGTATCCTACCAAACTTCGCCACCCACCGAAATGAACGGATCGTCGTTTAGGTACGTTAATCCAAGAACAACACTCGACGCGCGATTCTAAGCGATCTATAAATCCGCGACGTCGACGCGCCGAGTGTATTTACCGTGGAAACGGTGTAGTCGTGTAAAATATTGATCTTATCTTCGATATTCTCAGCGAACATCGCTACGAGGCGATTCGACGGGCCGGTTATTCGACGTTTCCCTGGTGTGCTCACGATAAAAAACGACGACGAGAATTAAGGGGTTACACCACAGTAGAGAGCGAAAATTTAACGTTTTTTTGCGATTTTTTTTTAAGTGGAAGGAAAAGTAAAAGGGTAATTCTTTTTAAGGATGTTGTTAAGCATGTTTTGAAGTTTTAAAAAAAATTTTGTTTATTAAAAAATATTACAAAATGGCTGCCCAACAGCCGTTTCTGCGGAACGGTTTTTTTTGGAGGGGCTCCGCGGCACGCAGTAGAAGTGCAGCAAAAATTAATCTGGAACAAAATAAAAAATTTTTTCTTAAACTACATTAGTATAGCTATAGAAATACGTAGGGGATTTTGAAAATATTCATTTTTGTTAAATTGGCGAGCATTTGAAAAAAAAAGTTCATTTTACTACCAAAAAACGGGCACTTATTTGTACCTAAAAAATCGAAATATTAACTTATCGAAAATCGGCTACGTATTTCTATGCGGAATGTTGTTTTAAAGATGTGATATTAATTTGGAGT